GCACTGCGAAACCAGCGGAGCTCTCAGCAGAGCAGGCTGGACCCTTCCGGAGGGTACCACCTGTTTCTTCCGAGGCTCCCCCCGACGATCGGATGTCGGTTGCAGCATCGGACGGTGAGCCGGATTTCTCCGGGGATGAAGATCCATCAGCGCTGCCGCCCTCTGGGCGGTCAGCGGTGCCGGAGACGGACCCGGAAATGATGGCTATACTTTCCCGGGCCGCCGAGAGTGTCGGGCTCGAGTGGAATCTTCCACCGCGTCCCGAACTCTCAAGGTTGGACGATTGGTTTCTCGGGGTGGCGCGCGCTGGTTCTCAGGGCCCCACTCCAGTGCCTTTCTTCCCGGAAGTGCATGATGAGATCGCTGAGGGACTTGCACGAGGGTGGTCACGACCCGGAAGTTCTCAAGGAACTCCGCACTGCGACGGACCTCACGCTACGAGTGACGAAGGTTACGGCGCGGTCTCTGGGTCGTGCACTATGTCCACTATGGTGGTCCAGGAGCGCCATCTCTGGCTGTGTCTGGCCGACATACTCGAGACGGACAAGACAAGATTCTTGAACGCCCCCGTGTCCCAGACCGGCCTGTTCGGCGACACGGTGGAGAACTTCGCCCAGCAGTTCTCCGCCGCCCAAAAGCAGACTGAGGCCATTAGGTACATCCTGCCCCGGCGTGCAGCTGCTGCCTCCACCCGGCCCCAGGGCAGCCGCCCCGCCCATCCAGGCCCCCGCCAGATCTGGTGGTAAACGAAGAAGCAAGAGGCCCTGAGACGGGCGACCCAGAGATGGAGGGAGTTGCTCTTCGGGAGATGGTGAACACACCACTCCCTCCCCCGGAGGAGGGCCGGGTCTGGGTGCTGTCGTTACCTGGCGCCGGGTGATGGTCACGATCGCTGCCTCTCGTGCCTGGGCATGAAGCACACTGAGGTGGCTTTCGTGGATGACTCATGCCCCCAAGTTCAGGGGCGTCCACTTTACGTCAGTGAAAGCAGCAGATGCCCCTGTCTTGCGTGCAGAGATCGCAATCCTACTGGCGAGGGACGCGATAGAGCCGGTCCCCCCAGCCGATATGAGGTCGGGGTTTTACAGCCCTTACTTCATTGCACCCAAGAAAGGCGGAGGGTTGAGACCTATCTTGGACCTGCGCGTCGTGAACGGGCCCTTCACAGGCTCCCGTTCAAGATGCTCACGCAGAAATGCATCTTCAGGTGTGTCCGTCCCCAAGACTGGTTCGCAGCGATCGACCTGAAGGACGCATACTTCCATGTTTCGATCCTTCCGCGCCACAGGCCATTCCTGCGGTTTGCGTTCGAGGGGCGGGCATACCAGTACAAGGTCCTGCCCTTCGGGCTGTCGAGCCGGTATCCTCCTGTGTTCTCACCTCAAACGGGTAGAAGCACTGAGAGGCCCCGGCTTCGGGTCGGCTTGCAAAAACCACTCCAGACCCACCCAGCAAAAATTCGTTGAAAAGACGTCGAAAAGACGTAAATGCCTGATGTCTAAACAATGTTAAAATTTGGTTGAAAAGTGAAAGGACGTCTTTTTCAGGTCGTTGAAAAGACGTCTATAAAAAGACGTCCAAATTACATCTAAATTTGGTTGAAAAATTAAAGGTGAAAAAAAACCTATTTTCAGGCCTAATTACTGTCAAAATAAGACAATTTACAAGAGTACCAAAACATTTATTGACACATTAAATACATCTTTCACGTAAAAAAAAAAAAGCTTAAGCCTACATTTTCAAACATACCATAAAAACAGTATTATTGTGAAATAACTACAAAAATAATTATTTTCTATGTGAATGCATTGCAAAATGTAATTTATTCAGGTGAACTGTATTTTCAGCATCATTACTCAAGTCTTCAGTGTCACATGATACTTCAGAAATCATTCTAATATGCTGATTTGGTGCTCAAGAAACATTTCAGTTGTGCTGCCCAATATTTTTGTGGAAACCATGATATTTTACAGTATTCTTAGAATAGAATTTGCAAAACAGCAGTATTTATTTGAAAGTTTTTTTTTAAACAATTCTTTACTGTAACTTTTTTCAAATGAATCCATCTTTTCTGTATAAACATCATTTTTCAAAACAATACATCTTTAAAATATTGAAAATGTTTATAAAACAGAACAAGGACCAATTATAACCA